GTCAGGGGTGACTTGATGGCCATCTGTAAGTTTATAAGGGGTATTCATCAGGACCTGGGGGAACATTTGTTCACCAGAGTGCGCCAAGGGATTACAAGGTCGAACAGTTATAAACTCCTGCAAGACCGTTTCAGGCTGGACATAAGGAAGAACTTTTTTACTGTCCGAGCCCCCAAGATCTTGAATGGCCTGCTGCCAGAGGTGGTTCAAGCACCTACTTTGAACGCCTTCAAGAGAAACCTGGGTGTTTTTCTTGCTGGGATCCTATGACCCCTGCTGACTTCCTGCCCCTGGGGCAGGGGGCTGGACTTAATGATCTTCCAAGGTCCCTTCCAGCCCTAATGTCTATGAAATCATTTTCTAAATCTTTAATGTCTATATTCAACACACAACATTTACGCTGGCAAAAAGGCCTTTAGATCATACAGCATATTTATGTGGGGAACTGCATCTTCTGAGGCAGTTTCTGAGGTAGTTGGGATTTATACCTTTTATGGCTTTGTAGATTATCATTTATGTCCCTTTGACAACTTAATATAAAATGATCCATAGCATCCACATTTATTTTTTTCCCTTTCTTTCTCAATTTCCCTGTACTTAGTCAGCGCCAGACTTGGCCATTCTTATAATGACTGGTAATTTACTCCCGAAACAGTCCAACTTAAATCATTAGAAATGGTAGAATACAAAAGGTGGGAAATTGGAGAGGAAAAGACTTGCATGCGTCGTCATATGCAAAAAAAAAAAAGGAAGTGCTGTAATATCTGGGTTCAGAACTGTGCTTCCTCCTCTTCTGCAAGCAGTGTTGATGCAAAGAGTGAGTCAGCGAGGTTAAGCTAGAAAATATTATAGGATTTGGAGGAGCAAAGAGATGAAATGCAGGCAGTCATCTGCATGTTTTCTTCTTATTCCTACAACAGAACCTGGACTGCATGAGTTACCCCCAAGACTACTAAAAATTGTGTAAAATTTCCCAAATGATTTTAAATGTTGAGGGAAAGGTTTGTAAGGCTAATCAAATGAAAGACTGATTTTTCAGGTGTTAGTATAAAATGCCGGTAACTTGACAGGTTTATTGTATGTCAGTGTGTTTTATGCCTTAGGCTCCTAATTTGTTTCACTTTGCATTATTGTTTTATTTTCCCTCATATAATGTGTAGATGTTTATATATGTATAATGCCTTAAGTGGTTTTGCTGCCAGTTCTTTATGTGCCATCTCAACATTTAGTGCTGTCGATAAGACTTCTCACATTTGAACTCTGGAGGAAATGCATGATCAGGAGAACCTTAGTGACTCTCTCCTGTCCCCCTTTTGGCTTTGACAACTTGTTCGTTGACCTGAAGTTCCTTTGAAGCTTACCTCTTATTCTGGATGGCTCCTAAGAGTGGAAAACAGGGAAAAGGCATTATGTGATGCTCATAGCTCAAATGTGGCAAGCCACCACATTTAATCTCCATGGCTGCCTGTCTGTTCAAACATGGCCCTAACACTGAAATTTGACTTTTAAAAAAGTCACTGCATTACTGTCACAGGCTGGCTATGTTCCTGGCAAACTGTGAGCTTGACTGGATCCAGTGGCAATGGTAGTCCCATTGCTAGGAGTGTACAACCCAGGCTTTGTATTATGTTACAGGAAGCAGCATGTGTCCTCCTGGTGGATTTCTATTCCAAATTATGAGTTCCCAAGTCTCCTTGTGCAGGTGCTACCAGGGAGATGGCAGAGTAGGTCCCTGCCTCATAGGTTGTCCAAAGTTTGTGTTTGGTGGGGTGTGGTGAGGAGAGGATATAGATACACATGTGTACTTTGGACAGGACGCTTGCTTGGTCATCCAACCTCCTCTTAAAAACCCCCAGGGTAGGAGCCTGCACCACCTCACTTGGAAGCTGGTTCCAGACCCTAGCCGCCCTGACCGTGAAGTAGCGCCTCCTGATGTCCAACTTAAACCTTCCCTCCACCAG